TGATTTATGATCCCAAAATCAACACTTACGTAGCGATAAACAAAGTTTACCGAACCCTGTTGGCACTTTTCGCATTCGCATTTTAAGTTTAACTTCCACATAATTGTATGTCCTTCCATACGAGGATGTATGTATGTATATCCTTTCATATTTAGCTGCGTCCGTTCGCTAACGTTGCCATTGCGCATACAGCTCGTATGTATGTATGTACATATGTTTTCTCACAGCTAATGACCAGCATTTACGTACAATTTCACTTAATTTTGAATGATGCCGTAGGGCGTTGCACATTAACGACAACAGCAACAACCATACGAACAACAACAACAACTGCATAGTTTATGCGTCTAATTGCGCACGCCCATTGAGCAGGAAATGTCCAACGTCACGGATCATAAAAATCAGGCTAAACATACTCGCAGTAACAGAGTTTTAAATGGTGTAATGCGGGAGCCGCAGTGGACATAGCTTGACCTAGCCCTGTGCATAGGTTCCCTACATTGCAGTGTGCGCGCCGCTGGCATTTGGCGGCCACATTACCCACCGGCGGCCCTGGGACGGGGTGGATGGTGAACTGTCGACGTCAGCGGATGTTGTGTATTTAAAACAATAATGAATACGTATATGAAAATAGAAAAAAATTGAAAAATCCAGCGACATTTAATTGCGCGGCAGGCAGTGCGAGTGAGCAAGGATGACAAGCGCGAATGAAAGTGGGGGGGAGGACGCACGCAAACATTGTCAAAACACATAACGACCGACAAGTTTATTACCCAGCGATGACATAAGCGAGCAGTCGTGGACGGACGCCTGTGCACACCCCCCATCAGACGTGTGGGTAGCGCGGTGTTAATGTGTATGCATATCAATAACAGAACAACGAACAAACGATCAACGACAACAACAATTTAGCCACCGGCATGCTAATTGCAATGACTTGCTGAGTTGTTTTATTTTTAAATTTTTGATTTTTGGTTCGCTAGTTGTTGGGTTACCTCGAGCGCTACTTTCCGCTTGCCTGGTTGTTAGTTGGGTGTTGTTATTTACGCCTGCGGCTTCCGCATATCCTGTGACAGTTCCTGCGGCTTGTTGACTTCAAACCTATTTGCACAATTTCGCAGCGTGCAACATTAACATAAGTGGCATTGATGCAAATATGGCGAATTTGTGACAAGTAGCGAGCAGGTTAATGGGAAGCACTACCACCGAAGCAATGGCAAATTAATTATGAACACGCATGCCAGTGCGGGCATAAAAATTGATGCCGAGCGATATTTTGGCGTGGAGTTGAAGTGGAACCATCGCGAAAAGCAACATTATAATTTACTGCAGCCAGTTTTAGATAAAAATGCATTGCCTAGTTTTGCGAACCCTAACACATGTTGTTACGTTGGCTACCGGCAGTTGAGTAGTGTTATTGTGGTGAAAAAATTACATGCCCATCGCATATTCGCATTAATTCTGAGTTTGGAAAATGATTGCGCTTAATGTGCGCTACACCCAATCAAGCGGAAGACAATCGTCCCAACACAAGTTTTTTAGTTTTGTATATCAGTACATGTGCCAATATATAGCGCATCAATATTTTTATCAATTTTTTTTTTTAATTTTATCTTGACCTGAAAAGGAACGAAACCGAAATCTTTATAAAAATCAGCTCAGGATCCTACCGACCAACAAATTTTTTTTCTTCAGTAACATAACTGTGCCTGTTTTACGAAAAATTACTTGCATGGACAAATTTGTGTACTATAGTATGTGGATAGTCTTACTTTTAATTTATATACATCGTGACTTATGTCAAGGCGGTAGCAGTGCTGCCACTGTCACTTCAATTGAAATTTATCGCTTCACTTTAGAGGCCTTCACTTCGTCACTTCATTTTACTTCGTTTTACTTCACTTTCAACAATTTAGATTTATCGCCAAAGTAAATAAAAATTTTTTTTAAATAAACAATTTATTAAACCAAAATCAGCAATACTTTGCTAAAATTCGTGTTAATTAGTAAATAAGTATGACAGAGTAACTTTTCGCAAAAAGCTGCTAAAAAGATGTCTAATAAATTTAATCTCCGATCTGGCATCGGTTATTTGGAAGAAGTCATTTTGATTTTCATTTCCACGTGTATAGTTGTAAAACTCACATTTTCATTTTTTTTATTCCAAAACCGAAACCGAAACCGAAACCAAAACCGAAACCGAAACCGAAACCAAAACCGAAACTGAAACACTTGACAATACCGAAACCGAAACTTTATTTTGAATCGGCTTCATTCCTTGATTTTTATTACTAACGAGAACACCACAATGACTGTACAGCAAGGGCAAAGTATTTACATAGTTCTATCGAATGCTTCAAAATCCACTTCGTTGGTGCCCATTTGGAGATATTGCTTATTCTTCATTTGGAGATATTGTTTATTTCTTCATTTTTCCGGCCATCAAGTCGCCCCGTTTAAATTACTTTAGGTCGACTTTTTTCTTCGATGTTTCCGCCTAGGTCGGGTATTTCTATTCGGTATAAAATATTAAAAACGTAATGGACATTTGTTTTCAAAAGCTTCGGGTTTTAGAATCTCACTGGGTTGTGAAAAGCTTGCAATAGTTCGTTGAAAATATATGGAGGGATGATAACAGTAAAAGTGTTTATTGTTGTTATATCCAAAGAGATGATAGCTCTTGGCTGGGACTACAGGGACCAAATTGGTAACTTAACCAAGGATCACACGAATTGGACATTTGTACAGATTTGTACATTTTGGCAGTCACAGAGTGGTGTTGTCTTGAAATAATGAGTTCAGCTCTATAAGAACTTGCCAAACCGATCGAAGGTGGGATCATCATTTAATTTGTTCTAAGAAAGTTAAAGTTTTCTGTTTGAGGACCAGAGAAACCTATCAAGATCTTCTAAGATTGAAAGCATAGTGAGCATAGACAACATATAGCTCTACCCACGAAGGTAGGCAGGCATTCGGACACTATTTTATTTAATAAATTTCCCAATAAACATTGGGCTTTCTTAACAATTCGAAAATGATTCGAAAACGAATCAGTTTTTCGAGTCTCACCTTCGATAACGAATGTGGATTACGTTAGAATTCGATTCGAGAACCAGGCCATTCTCCAGCAAAACAGAGCCTTCGTTATCCAATGTATTTGTCCTTCGTTATGAATTTGAAATCCAGCCCATTATCGAATTGAAATTTTTATGAGAGAGAGTGATTGTCTTATATTTCCCTTCGAGAATAAGCTGGGTTTGACTTCCTCTCTCGTTACTCTGGTTTCCATTCTTTTTCGAACCCATCTCGAGTGTTTTTCCAATATAATATGAACATTGGAAAACTAAGGTTGGTTATGAGTTCGTTCTCAGTTCGGTACGCATATTGGATATCGAAGGTTATTTTCGAACGTTCGCCAAAATGTTTATCGGGTTATTTTAAATGAGTTCAAAAACACATCTGAAAATATAAAGAAGTTTTTCTTTTTGAATCATTTTTTTTTTGCAAGCACGCAAAATTCAAAATGTAAATAATTTTTAAAGGATATTCACTTATTAATTTACCCCTTAAGAATTTTCATATAAAATTATTTATTAACGATTGGAATATTTTTAAATTTTTCGTCTGTTTTAACGCTTAGCCTAAAAATAGCCCTCTATGTAGTGTTTTCTGTTTCTAAAATGGTTTCTTCAGCATCTGTAAAGTTCCTAGCAGGCGATTGTCAGCCTTCTAGTGAAGGCAGAAAACGGTCAATGCCCGGTACTTAACGCCGTACGCCAATTATGGTCTGATTGTCCAATATATTTTACGGTCTGATTTTGAGATCCGATGCGCAATTGAGGAAATGTGTGCTGATCACCAGCTAGATTTTCTAGAATGTTGCCATGACAAGCGACCCATATGTAAATCTACGTCGAATTCACTACTAAGTCTATTAAAAAGGGATCTGCACTACTCAGCTAGCTTCGACTGCGTTCCATTTTGGAGCCATCAGTTTACCTACTACCTATGATGTATCCAGGCGAAGGTATCAAATTCCCCATTTCAGTCGTACAATGACGGGAAGAAAACTCAAAGGCAAACTACTATGCCTCATCGTTATTTCTTTCCATTAACCCATTTCTCTAATTATTACCGCAGACAATAAAGTGGTGCATAATAAAGATATGAAGGTATGTAAGAAATAGGACACCTGAAAGACAAGTTTGCATTGCCACTGTGGGGCCGGAATATGCGGCCTGACCTCCTGTACTCTGCCTCATTTTTCATGATTATACTTGTTCCGTTGGGTTCTTTCGTTGAGATCAGTGCTCTCCAACCGGCAGTTCACGGGCGCCTAGTAGCTCTTTGAATCAAACTACGCCATTTCCGGTTGTAAATGTGAAAGTGTCAATTAAAAATAAAAATCCCCATAAAATGATAAAGCTTCAATTAAAAGTTATATTAGCCAACTGTAAATGAGATTAGAAAATTTGTAAATAAAGAAAGATATTTCTGAAATCCAAAGACATTACCGACTTCCTCAAGCACGGAATCAGTGGATCATCCACGTTGAATGAAACGTGTATTTACGTTTAGAGAACCCTATCCACATACGTATAGTTTTGAGAACTAAGGAAGCTGATTGGAAAAGGCCTTAGCGCAAATTTAACTGTATTTAGCTGATTTTATTTGTATACTCAAATTCGTATAGAATTTATTAGTTAACTAGTTTCCTCCTTTAGGTAGGTGGCAATCTAAAGAGGAGATATCCGTAATAAACAATCACCTAAAAATTTATTTATTTATTTATTTATTACTGGACAATAGAGTCGCTAAGCACACTTCTTGTGATCTTTTTGGTCAAATATCCTAAACATTTTATTCCGTTTCGTTTTGTCAACCAGATGGCAACCCTTCTAAGTACATATACAAACTCACAATCCAACATTCCACTTCAAATAATTATTTCATGCAATTAAATTTTAAATGTTAACTCTTATCCTGCATTTCAGTTTACCCACGCGTCGAAATTGGACCGCAAAACCCGCTCCGCGTCGAACGTGATCAAATTGCCAAGCTGGAGTGTAATGTCGACGCTAAGCCAAAAGTCTCCAACATACGTTGGTCTCGCAATGGACAATATGTCAGTGCCACGCCCACACACACCATCTTCCGCGTGGGGCGACATCACGCGGGCAAATATACCTGCACTGCCGACAATGGACTTGGGAAGTCTGGCGAAAAAGATATAGTGCTCGACGTACTCTTTCCACCCATCGTTGTCATCGAGTCGAAAACGCACGAAGCCGAGGAAGGTGAAACCGTGTTGGTACGCTGTAATGTTACCTCCAACCCACCGCCTATTACCATCGAATGGCTGAAGGAAGGCGCACCAGACTTTCGCTTCACCGGTGAGCTGCTCACGCTGGTATCAGTGCGTGCCGAACACGCTGGCAACTACATTTGCCGCGCCGTTAATATCATGCTTCCGTACACCTCGAAGCGCGTGGAGGGCGTTGGCAACTCGACGGTGGCGCTGTTGGTGCGGCATCGACCCGGACAAGCCTACATAACGCCAAATAAGCCGATCGTTCATGTCGGAAATGGTGTAACGCTCAGCTGCTCAGCCAGTCCACCGGGTTGGCCCGTGCCGCAGTACCGTTGGTTTCGCGATGTGGATGGCGAGTTCAGCAACACACAAAAGATACTGGCACAAGGGCCGCAGTATTCCATACCGAAGGCACATCTCGGTAGCGAGGGCAAGTATCACTGCCATGCTGTGAATGAGCTGGGAATCGGCAAGATGGCTACCATCGTTCTCGAAGTACATCAACCACCACAGTTTCTGGCCAAGCTGCAGCAGCATATGACACGGCGCGTTGGCGATGTGGACTATGCAGTCACGTGCAGCGCGAAAGGTAAGCCCACGCCGATTATACGCTGGATCAAGGATGGCACCGAAGTGCTGCCTGGCCGCAAGTTGTACGACATACGCACCACGCCGACCGAGGGCCAAGGAGGTGTAGTCACAGTGCAGAGCATACTGAAATTCCGCGGCAAGGGGCGACCAAATGGCAATCAGCTGGTCCCCGCCGATCGTGGACTCTACACCTGTCTCTATGAGAACGAAGTGAACTCGGCCAACTCCAGCATGCATCTGCGCATCGAACACGAACCAATTGTGCTGCATCAGTACAACAAGGTAGCCTACGACGTGCGCGAATCGGCCGAAGTTATCTGCAAAGTGCAGGCCTATCCAAAGCCAGAGTTCCAATGGCAATTCGGCAACAATCCTTCCCCACTCACAATGTCCTCAGATGGGCATTACGAGATCGCCACACGCATGGACAACAACGACATCTACACCTCGATACTACGCATCAACCACATCTCACACTCAGACTATGGCGACTACACCTGTCGCGCGGTCAATCCACTCGACACAATACGCACACAGATTAGACTGCAACCGAAGGGTGCACCGGAACGACCAGGCGCTTTGAAAGTGATGGAAGTTTCGCACAATTATGCCATACTCAGCTGGATACCGGGCTTCAATGGTGGCATGCAGAGCACAAAATACCTTGTCTCTTATCGCCGTGTGGCCACGCCGCGTGAGCAAACCCTCTCCGACTGCGCCACCCACACCTACACCACCTCCATTGCAAGCAGCCTCAGCAGCAGTGGCGGCAGTGCGAGCAGCATCAGTTCAGCTGATTGGTTAGAATTCGATTGCTATCGCGAGAATCCATGCAAAGTGACACCGTTGGATCAATATCAAAGCTATATGTTCAAAGTGTATGCGCTCAATTCGAAAGGCAGTTCAGGTTACTCAAACGAAGCATTGGCCACCACAAAAGTGAGTAAAATTCCGCCGCCGCTACACGTCACCTACGATCCCGATTCGCATGTTTTGGGCATCAATGTTGCGGCGACATGTCTGTCATTAATTGCGATTGTCGAATCGTTGGTGAATCGCGAAACGCCAATGGCCACGTGGGAGATTGTGGATACGGTGACATTACTGCCGTCCGGCGCAGAAGCCACATTCAAAGAAGCCGTAATTAATCACATTCCACAAACGACACACTACAGCGCGTCCGGTCGGACGTTGGGCAATGCAGAGGACATAACATTGGCGCTGGCAGAGACGGCGCAAGGGCCGACGGTGCGCGTGAAATTGTGTTTGCGCACAAATCACGACCATTGCGGACAGTATGCGAATGCGGAGAGTGAGTATAGAGGATATATTTTTGTATTTAGTGAGTTAGTTGAAGAGCTAGATGAACGCAATTGCATTGGCGTTTCGGAGTTTTGGCTTTTTAGTTCTTTCCTTTAACATTCCGTTTTCCTTTTCCGAAACAAATACCTATTCCATTTTCTTTTTTTTTTTTTTGCCTTCAATGCAAATATCCTGCAGATTTTTTTGCAAATGCATGCATGCAAAACTAAAAGGTTTTTTTACCAATTTAAGCCCAGTACGCTCTAGGAAATAACGACAGAAATTTTATCGCAAGTAAAAATATATTTTTTTTTGCTTGCGCTTTTTTAGTTGTTTTGTTTTTTAAAGGAATTCTATAGAGTTTTGGATAGCTTTTTGATACTACAAAGGTGGAAAAACGGGTAGATGTTGGGAATTATTACTTCTCTGAAATAATAATATAAATAATAAGTCTAATATGACTCTGTGAGGAATCTAAGTACTTTTCCCAGAAAGAGTGAGTGTGACTCGTCAGTTCCCAATGCATCTCAGCAAGAGAATGGATCTCTCAGTCTATACAGTGTATCGACGATGTAGATAACAAAGGTCGCCCCCATCCCGGTACCGCTATTCCGGTCTAAGTGAATTTGACAGAACCGCAGTTTGTGTGACGTCACACTTGTGCTACTTGTTTACATTTTTCTTGCAAAACTTTTTTTTCTTCTTCCATTCTTTCTCGCGTTTTGGCAATTCTCTCTCGCAAATTCACCAGTGTGACGTCACACAAAAATTATTCTCAAAAAGCCTCTCTGATGCGCGCAATCTTTACTCTCTCATTCTTGCAGTGTATCGTCAACAGTACCAATGGTGACCTATCGTCCTCATGTCACTTGCTCGTAGCTCTTTTCTTCCCTACCTTGGAAGGGATTTTGCGACCTATCTTTTCAGTTAACACTCATCATATATATCTCATGAGGAGATCAATGATGCACCTGAGAAGTCCCCGCTATTCTTGGTCCAATAACAAGCTCCCATTCAATTGGACGCTTCATTTGAGGTTACCCGTTAGATTCCAAGCAGCTCAAACTCATTTTTGAGTGTTGAAGAAATCAGAAAGAAAAGGTTTGTCTAAATTTTTCCATTACTTACTTGTAAGAAAACCAACGTCATAATCTTTTTTCCAAAATAAACCCTGAGAGCCAGGAGTCATGTTAGCGTAATGCATTCGATATTTAGTGTTTGGTTATTTTTATTCCATCGCCAAGTCCAGAGTTGGAAAATCCAAAAAATTCTCTCATACTCATACAAAAATACTCATGGCCCCCATAATACGTATAAATACACTCCTTTAGAGTCTATTTTTGGCCATGATTCTACGCTACCATATTTCTGCAGAATGCTTGTCGACCAGTCTGATAAAAGCAGTGTGCGCAGAATACAAAGCCGCTCTCAGAACCCAAGCCTTACTAAAGGCTCTCAGCCACTGTCCGAAAACTTTGTGCAATTGATTAACCTTATGTTCGATGTGAGTTTTCCATATTAAATTCCTACCATTCCATATTAGATTGTCACCTCCGCGAAAAGACTTAAGTTTACGCTTTCAAACATCGGATATATAAAGAAGAATATGGTTGTCTGGTTAGGGTTGATAGCAAAACCGTATAAAGTGGCATCATTTATCTAACCTGTTATGGATTCTCTGTGTGTTTACATAGATCTCCTTGGCGCTAGTGCACAAACATTATCAGAGTGGTCTGCGAAGTGATCGAAATCTTGCATTGTGGTTAATTGGAAGTCCACTGTTAAACCCCACAATAGAGGTGAGCTGTATGTCCTCTCCCAATCTTCCCTATGGTACAAAGGCAATCGACTGTACGCCACATGTTCTTCGACATGAAGAATATCAGTCGGACTGGATCGAAACTTATTGCGAGCTCATTATCATCCTTCCCCGATTAGGGTATGAACACTTCCCTATCTTTTTTTGAAATACGGGAAATATGGATAAAGGCCATACAGATCCTAAAAAATATCATAAGATCCCCTATAAGCTTTCGTATCTTCTGATACACACCCATCTGTCCCAGGTGACTTAAATTAGTCAAAATGGATGGAGAAAACCATACTGACTTCTCAGTCATAATCTGTGGTGCTATATAGCAGTTTATGTACTGGCTCTTTCCGTAACTTGCAAGCCGGATAATGGGTTTTCAGTATAGTGTTCTAAGGTCCAGCACCGGCGTGGACCTTTGATATCCTGGTCCTTTGGAGCTTCGCAAGTATCTGTTGGAAGCACAGAAAATTTCCTTTTAGGGATTTATTCTCCTGTTTTGAGCCAGGCTTAGCCATTGTCGTCTCCATCTTTGATACCACCTTGGATAAGGAGAGGAAACAACTAGTACCTCAGTACTAGTAGCTTGGCACAATGAGGTGCTACTCTCAGTCATAGAGAATGGTGAGTTTTGAGACTGCAGATCCGAATCAAAGTTAGCCGACGAGTCAGCTGGTGAATCCCAAGATGATAATTACCCGTGCAGAGATATCTGGAGTCTGAACTTCTCCGTGAAGAAGCGAAGGCTGAGATTTTATTCTTAATGCCATTTCAAATGGTGCAATTCTTCCTACTTTCCGAGATGGATCGAAGGCTATTCGAGTTGCTCCAACCTTGCGTGTCTGGTTCATTGTTTAAAAACAGCCCGAATGAAGGAACTAAACCGGATCGGTTACTTTTTGTACTTAACTCGCCATTATTTTGTAAGATCGACTAAGCCTTCGCACAGCGTAAGAGTGTTTTGATGTCAGTATTGAAATATCTCATTCAACGTACTTACATACGTTTTTAAACATTTTTATACAAGTACTTATATGGAAACCCCACTCCATAATACCATCTAGGGATAAATTTATCCTCGTTTTGCTTTATAACTTTCTCGTATATTTTCTGTTCTTCATATATATTTTTTTATTTTATATGCCCTATAAAGCTGAGTTCTTTGGTGTCAAATTCTCTCTCTATCATCTACATTTGTCAATATCTCTATGCCCCTTGAGACTGTTTTTGTTTTGCTTTTACAACTTCCCGCTTTTCCCGCAAAAACTTATTGCAATTTATATCGAAACAAATCACTTCCATTCTAGTAACTTCCCAGCCACTTTAATTCTTCGTTTGTGTTAGAAAAGAATTTACACTTCTTATCCACATTTTGCATAACACTTTGCCTTTGTCTCCATTTTTCTTCTTTTTTCCATGCCACCTCCAACCGTTATTCATCAATCCGCAACGCGCCATCACTGTCATTCCGACGGTTTTTATCACACCACCGCAGTTGGCAAATCATACATGCCCGACTCGTCAGCGCTAACGACATCCGCCGTAATAGCCATAATCGTCTCATCCATCGCATTCCTGCTACTCGTCGCACTCTCGGTGGTCTTTTTCCACTGTCGACGTGCTGCGTCCAACAAGAAGGCCAGCACCACCTCACCCGCCAAAGAATACGATCTCGACTCGGGTCGTCCGTCTATTGTGGCGCAAACAAATCAAGCGCCACCACCCTACTATCCCACCGGTAGTCTGGATAGCAGCAAATCATTAGACGCACATGCGATGGAGTTGACACTCACTGCCGTGCAGGACACCGAAGAACAGCTGCATCAGCAGCAGCAGCAGCAGCAACAACAGCAGAAATCTGCGGCTTCCGTCTATGGCTCACAGAATGGTTATGGTTATCATGTCACATCAGCTCTTGGAGGCGTCAGCGGCGGTGGTGGCGGCAATGGCAGCGACGGGGATAGCTATCAAGTGACGCCATTAGCGCACTCCACCATTGCGGGCCGCAGCGAGTGTAAGTACCTTAGTGTAAGCTTTTCCATGTGCAATCCACCGACCATCGACCACCAACCGTCCCCTTCCCTCTCCCCAACTCACTCACTCACTCACTCATTTGGCGTGCGTGTAAAGACAATGCTCTCGAGGATTATGTGCGCATTCATACTTATTTGTGCCGATGCATTGGACGTTTCTATGTGCGTGCTCTTCGGCGGTTGCAGCGGGTCTACGCAATCTCATTTTGGACTGCGTTAAGCTGGCAGCTAGCGCGCGCTATGAAATGTCCGGTTAGTCACGCAAGTTGGACGTAGTGCAGGATGCTCATAAATGCAAGCTGCTGCGTCAGTCAAACTTCGATTCACAGCAAAATGGATGTTAAATTGAAATTGCTTTGTGAAATTCTGGTACTTGAAGGCTCGCACCATCACACGCTTAACTAGCAAACTCAGCCTCTATTGAAATGTATGCGTGTGTAGATATGTCATGTAGACCTCAATGGCCGTCAAATATTTTCTAATTTTGATATTTCGCTCAACGACTACTGGATGGGAACGATAAAGCTTTATTTCTTTAGAAATGCAATCAACGTAGAAGCTTAATTTCAAGCTTAATGCGAATGCGTATTCTGTATGGTAGTGTCACCAACAAAAGTGGCTAGTGCACTAAATTCAATTATGTTTTATTAACACGTAAAGGCTTCCAGTAACTTTCCACTTGGCATGAATGTCGCGACAGCTTTGCTACAAAGCTTCACTAGGTTGGTTTCGATCCCCCGGTTTATTCAGAGAACTAACGACTGACTGCTAGACGATCTCAAAAAAATCCCGATTCTTATTGGGAACTCGTTCAGCCATTTCCAGTGGTCTATCAAAGGGGTAGGGGTAAAATATTAGTGTGAACATAAGAGATTTTATCGAGTAGAAACGCCTTGCCAATTTCCAAACCCGTGTTGTAACTAAAATAAATGCAGCTATTACCCGGTGGCCTTGAGGTGTTGAAAGATTTTAGTGCCCATTCATGTCGTTCGTCCTTCCATGGCATACTTGCAATATTAATTTTAACCTCATCCATGTCATTTTAGAGCTCATATATTTCTTAGTTCAATCCTCTATAGTAGTCGCCATTGCCCAAGCGTAAAACCCCGTAAATTTTTCGCAGCATCTTTCTCCAAGGATGGCCTCATCAGATGTTGGCATTGTCCACGAAACTGCGCATATACATCAGTACGGGCATAACGAGAGACTTTTAAAGTCGCACGATAAGCACTCTTCCTGCATAAAACATATTTCTTCATCAATTCGTCCTTTCCCATTCCGACGGAGCTGGTGATATGTCATCTTGCACAGCCGTGTTAGTTCAGACTACATGGCATTTGGGTAACATTTGAATTTTCCTGCTATAGAAATCTGCTTTGAAATTATTTATTAATATTGTGAGTGCCGATTTTTCCCTCGATTATGATTATTTACTAAAATTTGGTGTATGCTGCATGCCTGGTCTACAAATTTTTCGATTGGACCTTAAGGATGATGCTTAGCATACTGGTCCTACTGTTTCAGGCACCTGTGGCGGGGTCTCCTTTTTTGGGGATTTGTACTGAAACTTCGGTCGGAAGAAGAATTTATGCATGCACCTTACCAGCTCTTGCAGGCCATCATCTGCAGCAGCTTTATTGTTTTTCAGCAGCGGAATGGTAAAAGACGGGTGGGGAGACGTCGACTCCCTTATCGACTGGGCACTAGGGTTTATCGTCCACTTAATCAAAATAATATCGTTTTATCTTTGGGACTCCATAGGGGACGCAGTCAACATTTTCCAAGCAAAATCTATAAAACGAATGTTTAATAGCATGTAGTATTATCCTCATATTTTATTCCTTAAATTTATTGAAGTGGGTTGCTGATGCCTGGCAAAAACTCACAAGAAACTATTCGTCGATCAAAGAAGACTAATCAATTTAAGAACCATTTCATCGCCGAACCCGAATACGAAATCAACGTTAAAAAAAAAAACAAGTTTATACTTTTTACTCTTAACGTGAAAAGCTTAAAAAGCTTACTGCTTTTATTGTAGGGCTTTGGAGGTATACAAATAACTATTTAACTTTGGAATCGTATTTCAGGTTATACAAGTATAGATTAATCTTCTTTGTCTGACACGCAGGCTACAATGGACGCTAAATGAATACCAAAGATTGTCGATCGTACCACAAAATAATCATTAAGTGTGCGATTTGATTAGATTAGGTGGCAGCACCGCGATGGTCATAGGTGTTTGACAATGAAGATTACAGGAAAATGATGCGAGTTTAATGTTCAGCAGATAGTATCCACCCAAAAGAGCTCCCTGGCGGTCTTAGTGACGGTTTGGAGTGTTTATAATTTAGCCCAGCGGGACCAGGTCAGCTGAGAAGAAAACACTTAGATGATTCCATCTTTCTGTCCTACAAACAAATAACTCGTAGTGGTAGGAGGCGATGGGGTCTGAGGCAATTTGAATGAATTGAAAAACTGATAACGATTCTAAGGCGCTGATTGTTGTTTGGCTATTAGAGGAGATATTTAATAGATATTATTCAAATAATATGGACCACCTTTTTGTTCGAACTTAGTAAAATGTTTGTTAAAATACCAATTTAAGAACAATTGTAAAATCGCTATTTAGTGCGTACGAATTTGCGGCACTTTCAGTTTTATACACAGTACTACAGCAATATTCGAACTCCTCAAACTTTGTTCTTTCGTTCAACTATTCATCGAAAAACTTTTTATGAGCCATTTTCATTTTCAACTCATTTGGCTAGGCAATTAACATTACAATCACTTAAAGAACAATACTGTAAGGCTTCAAACTAATTTTCTGCCAGTAACTACTTCACAAAACTCACCCCCTTACCCACTTTTCTCCCGCCCTCTCATCCTCTGGCACCAACACCCAGCATATTCTGCTTAACAGTGGCGCTAAAAAAGCCAACATTCGCATGACTTGGGCAAAACCATACGCTCAGTAGCC